CTTGTGTTGCAGTCGAAACGTCGTGAGAATTGTATTGTTTTATATTTCTATTATTTTATTGTTTCCCTTCTACGTAACTTTACCGAAAGAACCAAGAATATGATTTGAAGCATGTTTTATTTTGGGGGGGGGGGGGGGGGGCAGAGCTTTGTGACGTCATATTTGAGAGGGGGGGTCTGACTATTTGTGACGTTGTGTGACGAAGGGGGGGAGTCAAAAATCGCCCAAAATCGCGTGACGTCATTTATGGACGGCCCCTAAGAATCACTTGATGCTCCGTTTTGACGCCGTGAACTCTAAACCCCGCCCCTTGCATTCACCCCGCCCCCCACGTGACCCCTCCCCCCCTCTCTCCCCAGGCCCCACCCCCGCACCGCCCACCAGCTACACCTCCTGGCATGCACCGCATGGCCATGAGACGTTAGGGAAGCGATTAAAATATTAGAATAGAGGTCAATTAAAACTGAAGAGGAGGAGGAACACCCCACCCACCTCACCATCATTACAGAATAATAACGTTTTAACTATACAAAACGTAGGGATGTGCCAGAAGGCAACACAACCTCTGGTCGGGGCATTTGAAAATACGTATATTTTTTTTACGTGTATCGTCTTATGTCACCATGAAAATTAATATGACTGACAGCAGCGGTGATACAGTGATGGGCAACTGTGGACCCGGCTTCGTGGATATTAAGGCTCATCAAAAACGGCAGACTATACCGTAGTCACCAATACTCGCTGCTTGCAAAGTCTGACTGGAAATCAGACACGTGGAGTCACACTAATGTCAACGATCGGCACGCATTCATGACCATCGACAACCACCGGTGCCGTCAGCCAACCCGACAGCGTCAATGTTTAAAAACAAATAGAATCTCCACGAACATTAACATCGTCTTAGCGGATCAACCGCGGCACGAGTTGGTAAACCACTTTGTGAAACGTCCTCGGTGACTAATAGAATCGCATACCGAAAATCATAGAGCCGAAAATAACAACTAACATCGGAAGGTGGTAGGATGGGAACATCACAGCCAGTTTTTTTTACATTAACAGATTAAATTTCTCACTCTAACACAGCCACCTCGCGCGGCATTAACATGCTAATCTCTTACATTAACATGTTAATCTCTCACATTAACATGCTAATCTATAACATTAACATGTTAATCTCTCACATTAACATGCTAATCTCTCACATTAACATGCTAATCTCTCACATTAACATGTTAATCTCTCACATTAACATGCTAATCTCTCGCATTAACATGCTAATCTCGCACATTAACATGCCAATCTCGCACATTAACATGTTAATATATCCCATTAACATGCTAATCTCTCACATTAACATGCTAATCTCGCACATTAACATGTTAATCTATTCCATTAATATGCTAATCGCTCACATTGACATGCTAATCTCGCACATTAACATGCTATTCTCTCACATTTACATGTTAATCTCTCACATTAACATGCCAATATCTCACATTAACATGTTAATCTCTCACATTGACATGCTAATCTCTCACATTGACATGTTAATCTCTCACATTACCATGCTAATCTCTCACATTTACATGCTAATCTCTCACATTAACATGCTAATCTCTCACATTAACATGCTAATCTCTCACATTAACATGCTAATCTCTCACATTAACATGCTAATCTCGCACATTAACATGTTAATCTCTCACATTAACATGCTAATATCTCACATTAACATGCCAATCTCTCACATTAGCATGCTATTCTCTTACATTAACACGCTAATCTCTCACATTAACATGCTAATCTCTCACATTAACATGTGAATCTCTCACATTAACATGCTAATCTCTCACATTAACATGCTAATCTCTCACATTAACATGCTAATCTCTTACATTAACATGCTAATCTCTCACATCAACATGCTAATCTCTCACATTAACATGCTAATCTCTCACATTAACATGCTAATCTCTCATATTAACATACTAATCTCTCACATTAACATGCTAATCTCTAACATTAGCATGCTAATCTCTCACATTAACATGCTAATCTCTCACATTAACATGCTAATCTCTCACATTAACATGCTAGTCTCTCACATTAACATACTAATCTCTCACATTAACATGCTAATATCTCCCATTAACACGCTAATCTCTCACATTAACATGCTAATCTCTCACATTAACATACTAATCTCTCACATTAACATGCTAATCTATTACATTTACATGCTAATCTCTAACATTAACATGCTAATCTCGCACATTAACATGTTAATCTCTTCCATTAACACGCTAATCTCTCACATTAACATGCCAATCTCTCACATTAACATGCTAATCTCTCACATTAACATGCTAATCTTTCACATTAACATGCTAATCTCTCACATTAACATGCTAATCTCTCACATTAACATACTAATCTCTCACATTAACATGCTAATCTCTCACATTAACATGCTAATCTCTCACATTAACATACTAATCTCTCACATTAACATGCTAATCTCTCACATTAACATGCTAATCTCTCACATTAACATACTAATCTCTCACATTAACATGCTAATCTCTCACATTAACATGCTAATCTCTCACATTAACATACTAATCTCTCACATTAACATGCTAATCTTTAACATTAACATGTTAATCTCTTACATTAACATAGCCACCTCGGCACACTCGCCGTGGAAGCCGCTCACATGCTAATTTTTCCCTGGCAGCCCTGTGATTGGTGGAGAACCCACCACCGCGGCAGTCGCTGCCCACCACTCACATTAACATTGGCTGCTGACAGTTGGGCTTCGCCCATTTCAAACCTTTATAAGCAGTTTGCCTTTAGAAGCTATAGTGAGGGAAAAAAGTATTTGATCCCCTGCTGATTTTGTACGTTTGCCCACTGACAAAGAAATGACCAGTCTATAATTTTAATGGTAGAGGGAGATTGACAGTTCTTTTGTGTTTCTTCCATTTGCGAATAATCGCACCAACTGTTGTCACCTTCTCACCAAGCTGCTTGGCAATGGTCTTGTAGCCCATTCCAGCCTTGTGTAGGTCTACAATCTTGTCCCTGACATCCTTGGAGAGCTCTTTGGTCTTGGCCATGGTGGAGAGTTTGGAATCTGATTGATTGATTGCTTCTGTGGCCATGTGTCTTTTATACAGGTAACAAGCTGAGATTAGGAGCACTCCCTTTAAGAGTGTGCTCCTAATCTCAGCTCGTTACCTCTATAAAAGACACCTGGGAGCCAGAAATCTTCATTATTGAGAGGGGGTCAAATACTTATTTCCCTCATTAAAATGCAAATTAATTTATAACATTTTTGACATTCGTTTTTCTGGATTTTGTTGTTGTTATTCTGTCTCTCACTGTTCAAATAAACCTACCATTAAAATTATAGACTGATCATTTATTTGTCAGTGGGCAAACGTACAAAATCAGCAGGGGATCAAATACTTGTTTTTTCCCTCACTGTATAACCCCCCTTTCCTGATGACGACCGCTTGTGTTGCGATCGAAACGTCGTCGTTTTTTGTTATTTTTTGTTATTTTCTTTGAACCTATCTACATGACTTTACCGAAAGACCAAAAGACTAATCGCATACCGTATCAACCCACACGGTTTTGACCCGCATTCTTGTAGAGGGAAATTGAGTTTTCAAGTCCATACGGGCAGCAAAACCCCAAAAACGTGTTGTCTATTTGTGTGTTCTCCCTTGTGATGGGACTCTGTAGGATGAACGTTGATATTTATAAGGGCACTGGGAGAGTTTGACAGGCGTGATATCGCCTCCGCTATGTCAAACCGTCCATTACGTCCCAAATTACTCCATAGCCATCGATTAATTACTTATTTTCTCGACTGCCGGCTCCCTCTGCAAGTTAATCAACAATCCCCAGCGATCGCTCGCAATAACCCCCCACCCCTTACTGGACATCTGTGGGAAAAGAGCTTCACAGCTCGTCGGATTTCCTCGAGGTGTAAATAAAGAATTCTAATTCAGATTTAAGGCTTTCGTGACTGCAGTAATTCATATTCTTAGCTCTTTTCGGTAAAGTCACGTTTCCCTTCAACGTGACTGTACCGAAAGATCTAAGAATATAGAATTATAATTCAATCGATGGAAATCGACCCTCGGGTGTGACGTCACACACAGCACCCCCCCCCCACCCTCCCCCACCGTCGCTGACCCGGATGTTGTCACGGCGTGGGGCCGAGAGGGCCACGGAGGCCGCTGGTTAGAAGTGGAGGAGGCCACCACCACCAACACCACCACCACCACCGCCGTCGCTGTTGCTGCTGCTGCTGTACAGCTCCGGGCCCCTGCGTGCGTGGTCAGCTCGGGCGTCTCTCTCCGCCGCCTCCTCCGGCCGACCCCCCCCCCCCCCGTACGCTACCGCCACTCGTTCACCTCGCTGACTTGGCTGCGCGTGGCTCGTGGTGGTGGTGGTAGCGCGTGTTTTGTTTTTATCGTGTTTGATGGTCTTGGTTGGTTGGTTGTGATTATTGTGTTTTGATAGTTGTTTTGTTGTGGGGGTTATGACGATGTGGGTTGGCGGTGATGGTGGTGTTAGCGCGCCGATCGAACATCTGTGGGGGAAAAAAGCAGATTCCCCGCTCACCGGCCAACACCGTCGGTGACGATTATCTGAACGGGTCCTGGGCCTCCCCTAGGTCGACTCGGACTCAAACGAGTACCCGGTGCGGTGCGTGGTAAACATCGCCACGAGGGAGACAAAGGCGACCGGGCGTGGTGTTGGCCACCCACCCCTTCGTGTGCTCTACCGGCCTTCATAGGTGCTTGCTCGCCAACAGCAGCACTCGCTCCTACAGTCTGTTAAGGCTACAGGGGACATCTATGGGGGCTTGTGGTGTTATTAGGAGTGATGCTTGGTGGAGGTTTCGATTGTGATGATGGGGGTTGTGATGGTGTTGATAATATGGTGGAGGTTTCGATTGTGATGATGGGGGTTGTGATGGTGTTGATAATATGGTGGAGGTTTCGATTGTGATGATGGGGGTTGTGATGGTGTTGATAATATAAGTGGTAACATGTAGTCTTGATTGCGCGTGTTGTTGGTGGTGCTGTTAGCGGTGGTAGTGATGATTTGAGTATTTTTTTTAGTGGTGGAGGTTGGCACAGTGGGGGGGAAGCACTTGTGGTAACATCTACCAGCCATCTGTTAACCCGTGACACCCGGGTCTGGCCTGGCACCTGCCATGGAGCCTTCGACACTTCACCTGGCATCAAGGTGGAGATTGTGTTGGTGAATATTCTGGTGATGGTATGGATTGTGGTGGTAGTGCTGTTAGTGGTGGTGAGGGCTTTGTTGGTGGATGCTGAAATTTATCTGGTGTTGATGGTTGGTAGTGGTATTGATAGTAATGCTGGTAATCGTGCTTGTTGGTAGTGTTGCTGGTAGTGGTGAGGGCCTTGTTGGTGGTTGTTGAATTGCGGTTGTTGGTGGTTAATTTAGTTAATGAGATGCTATTGTTTTTTTTTTGTTGGAAACATAGCAAACAAGTGTCTATTTGTGTGTGTGGGTGCGTGGAAGCCATTCACATTTTGTCGCTTGGAATTTTGTGTGATTACAAAAGTTACGGAATGCGCCGTCCCTCAAACAAATATTCTATATCGTGTACTCTCATTTGTTAACTTAGATTCATCATCTTACTCTATTCATTCACTTCTGACTCCAGGACATTCCATTCTCATATTATTCTTAACGTTTTCCTCCCCTTCTGACATTACATTTCCTCATCAGTCTCATAAATATAATTATAAATTATAAAGATTAATTTCAAGTGGTTACATTGGTACATATGTCCTTTGTTTACAAGGATCCCCCCGTATAGCCTGAACAGGCTGTTGGAGCAAAGGAAATGTACAAGTGAAGTGCATTTGGCAATAAATTCCCCAACACCAATCGGAATATGTTTCGTTATTTTTTTCATGACATGTGCAGCTGTGTAAAGTAATCTTATTGTGAAATAAAAGGAAATCGTTCTTAGAGGGACACATCTGGAACAGAATGTTTAGTGCAGTTATTGAATGTTGATCGGAATCAACATTATTTAATAAAGAAGCAATTGGCAACAGCATGCAGTGTTTTTGGATAAACTATAGTTTGATAAAGGCAACATACTAATGTGTCTCAACAAAAAAACATGGTCAGATCCAAAAACATGTTTACAACTATACAAATAAGCTTGGAGAGGTACATGCTTAGGTTTGCATTGAGAGAAAGAGGAACACATGGAGTAGAGAAATAGAAAATTCAAAAGCCCATATTGACTTCTAAGGAAAGTAAGTGGACTTGGTGGGAGATTCTAAGAAGGGACGATTGGTACATTATTAACATGTGTGGACTAAATACAAGACTGGTGATGGAATGGCAGACAAAGGAGAGAACACACCCTAGAGTGCGACCACTGCAGAAAATCGAGTGAACAGATCTGCTTGTGATTGTGGTATTGCAAGAAAGAGGGATGGCGATGGTGTGGGGGGGAGGCCTTCATCCAGCAGAGAATTGAACATGGCTGATGAAGACGTTTTCTTAGCTGCTCAAAATCTAATACTGTATTTCAACTTGTGGGATTATGCTGTTCCTTGCAGATATAGGGGCCTCGCATTCAATGCAAACATGTCCAGGGCCCCGAGCCCCCCACCTCCGTCTGAAATGTCCAATGCGCCCATCGCAGAAAGCTGGTGCTACACACAGGTACTACTTGTTCCCCTGTGGCCAATCACATTCAACGGGTCTCCATCTTGTGCCGGTCAAAGTTTGCGCATGGGTTTTTCTAAAATACGGACAGTTCCCCATTAGCCAATGCATTTAACTTTTACACGTTTTTTGTTCATCGCAAAGCCATCCAAAATGCTTTAATAGTTATGTATAAGTGCAATTATGGATTATCATTGTACAGGCTATTTTTGTCCATCAGATTGCAAAGTTCATAAAATTGCACTAACAACATTATACTAGTTAATTGTCTCTGATTTTGACCGGTAGCGTTTTCTTACAAAAGGGCAGCAGTTTTTCTCAAATAAAAAAATAAAATGGCCTTTTATTACACACTCTAATCTATGACATGTTGAGACTTGTTGTGTTAACGCTGTGCAGTAATGAACTTGCAAGGTAATCCCAGAACACTAGGACCCTTTCATTTACAGTAATGTTTCTTTCCTTATAGACAGTTTGTGTTTTTTGAGCACAATATTCAGATGTGTGGGTGAAATACTTGAGGGTTTGTCAATGGTCATGTATTTATGGTAATGAATGAGCTTTATAGCTGTTATGTGCTCGTGTGTTTCAGGTTAAGGTCGTAAAGTTCTCTTATATGTGGACCATCAACAATTTCAGCTTCTGTCGTGAAGAAATGGGCGAAGTTCTCAAGAGTTCTACATTTTCAGCAGGCACCAATGATAAATTGAAATGGTACAGTAAATTCTGGCTATTTTATGACATTAAAAAAAAATCACAATGCTCATGGAGGTGCTTTACTAGAACAATTTTGCATAGTGCATGTTTTAGTTCATACTATATTGTTTTAGTAATGTAGTCTGCGCGTACATACACACCTAATATTAATGTCCATGTCTGTTTATATGTTCAATCAGGTGCCTACGTGTGAACCCCAAGGGTCTTGACGAAGAGAGTAAAGATTACCTATCGTTGTACTTGTTATTGGTCAGCTGTCCCAAGAGTGAAGTCCGCGCCAAGTTCAAGTTTTCTATTCTTAATGCCAAGGGAGAGGAAACCAAGGCTATGGGTGAAACTACTTGTATTTAAGTATTAATTCACGTCATATGTGTATTTGGTAACAGGATTATATCATAATCAGCTATTATTTATCGACTGCTCGAAACATTTTATAAACCTTACGAACACCATCCCGCATCCTTCACATGAGCTGATCTAATATCTCCTTGTCTACGTTTGACATCGTCTTGGGCATGTACTCTACTTTTCCTCCTATTCGACCACCAGTCTCATCCATCAACCCTCCCATTTAGCGATGTGTCTTATCCAAGCCCAATCTATATTTACAACAGTCAATATGATGTCTCTAATTTGCCGTTTTGATTTGACCAACGTGTTCCTCTTTCAGTTTCTCACTGTAATTCTCAACTTACTTCTCTCTACGCTCTGTGTACTTTTTAGTTTTGTTCCATTTGTCAGTGTTTCTATTTGTAATCAGTGTTTCATAGTAGGTAATATGGACTGATTGAATTCTTTCATCCTGTAGCACATTGCAACTTTTCTTTTCATTATCAAATTCATTTTCCAAAAGTGCTCTTGATCCTGTTCCACCTTCAGGAGTTGCCGTTATGCATATTTTTGTGTTTTCCATGATTGACCCTCCAATGATAATTTTATTTTTCTTAGTGTACTTGGACATTGTCATTCACGGACATTTATTTTCCTAGTTTTACCATCTTCACCATGTGTTATTCCATTGTAATTTATCAAGTGATAGCTTTATTTTTTCGGCTTGCACTCACTGTTTATTACAACTTCATTATTTTTGTTTGTATTCTCATCCATTTTTTTATTCATTTCTGGTGGTTTTACAAAGGTTGGAATTTTCATCCCATTTCACACTTCTCCTTTACCTTGCTTTTGTGGTTCATATTGTTTGTTTTATAATTGCTTTATTACTTTCAGGATGCTCTTTCAAGCGAGATAACTATTTTAAGTGGTGACATCCATACATTTACTGTGCTTTGCTAAGGCTATTAACATTTTTCTGAGAGTCTAAATCTATCTTTTTGTTTTTAACTTTCATGTATTTTTTCTTATTATTTGCTTTGGTGTTGTCTTTGGTAATGTTGACATGTAACTCACGTCACACAAACATGTTTACAAAGACAAGCATTATTATACACAAACACATTCACTTAATCCATATGAACTATATCTTCATACACTTAAATCCAGGTCTGATTTTCATCTACCTTGAAGTTAAAAGCTTAACTGAACTATTTTTATTTTACCAGGCAAGGCCCACTGAGCTACAGTGAGGGAAAAAGGTATTTGATCCCCTGCTGATTTTGTACGTTTGCCCACTGACAAAGAAATGATCAGTCTATAATTTTAATGGTAGGTTTATTTGAACAGTGAGAGACAGAATAACAACAAAATCCAGAAAAACGCATGTCAAAAATGTTATAAATTGATTTGCATTTTAATGAGGGAAATAAGTATTTGACCCCCTCTCAATCAGAAAGATTTCTGGCTCCCAGGTGTCTTTTATACAGGTAACGAGCTGAGATTAGGAGCACACTCTTAAAGGGAGTGCTCCTAATCTCAGCTTACCTGTATAAAAGACACCTTTCCACAGAAGTAATCAATCAGATTCCAAACTCTCCACCATGGCCAAGACCAAAGAGCTCTCCAAGGATGTCAGGGACAAGATTGTAGACCTACACAAGGCTGGAATGGGCTACAAGACCATTGCCAAGCAGCTTGGTGAGAAGGTGACAACAGTTGGTGCGATTATTCGCAAATGGAAGAAACACAAAAGAACTGTCAATCTCCCTCGGCCTGGGGCTCCATGCAAGATCTCACCTCGTGGAGTTGCAATGATCATGAGAACGGTGAGGAATCAGCCCAGAACTACACGGAAGGATCTTGTCAATGATCTCAAGGCAGCTGGGACAATAGTCACCAAGAAAACAATTGGTAACACACTACGCCGTGAAGGACTGAAATCCTGCAGCGCACGCAAGGTCCCCCTGCTCAAGAAAGCACATATACATGCCCGTTTGAAGCTTGCCAATAAACATCCGAATGATTCGGAGGACAACTGGGTGAAAGTGTTGTGGTCAGATGAGACAAAAATGGAGCTCTTTGGCATCAACTCAACTCGCCGTGTTTGGAGGAGGAGGAATGCTGCCTATTACCCCAAGAACACCATCCCCACCGTCAAACATGGAGGTGGAAACATGCTTTGGGGGTGTTTTTCTGCTAAGGGGACGGGACAACTTCACCGCATCAAAGGGAAAATGGACAGGGCCATGTACCGTCAAATCTTGGGTGAGAACCTCCTTCCCTCAGCCAGGGCATTGAAAATGGGTCGTGGATGGGTATTCCAGCATGACAATGACCCAAAACACACGGCCAAGGCAACAAAGGAGTGGATCAAGGAAATGCACATTAAGGTCCTGGAGTGGCCTAGCCAGTTTCCAGACCTTAATCCCATAGAAAATATGTGGAGGGAGCTGAAGGTTCGAGTTACCAAACGTCAGCCTCGAAACCTTAATGACTTGGAGAAGATCTGCAAAGAATAGTGGGACAAAATCCCTCCTGAGATGTGTGCAAACCTGGTGGCCAACTACAAGAAACGTCTGACCTCTGTGATTGGCAACAGGGGTTTTTGCCACCAAGTACTAAGTCATGTTTTGCAGAGGGGTCAAATACTTATTTCCCTCATTAAAATGCAAATCAATTTATAACATTTTACATGCGATTTCTGGATTTTGTTATTCTGTCTCTCACTGTTCAAATAATCCTACCATTAAAATTATAGACTGATCATTTATTTGTCAGTGGGCAATCGTCCAAAATCAGCAGGGGATCAAATACTTTTTTTCCCTCACTGTATATTGCTCTTTTTCAGAAGTGACCTGGCCACAAACGATAGCTTAACGAAATGGCTTATTGTGTGGAAATGTATAGCAGCCAAATACTCTGGATTTTTATAAATATGGAGGGAAAAACTGGAAGACCTGGATAAAAATACATGTAACCACAAGGAGAACATGCAGACTCCAAATATACAGGCATCAGGGTTGGGATCGAACCTACGACCTCCTATATACCAGGCGAGGTAGTTGACTGCCACCGTGGCGCAGGGCTTAAGAATACATTGCTGTCTTTACACTTTGAAAATATAATTCAGTTTTTTCCCCATTACATGACATTACAACAGTTTAATGTAAGAACTGGTGAGTATTGTTTGAAATCTATTTTTTACAGAGAGCCAGCGAGCATACCGCTTTGTCCAAGGAAAAGACTGGGGATTTAAAAAATTCATTCGAAGAGATTTTTTGCTTGATGAATCTAATGGCTTGCTTCCAGATGACAAACTGACACTCTTTTGTGAAGTAAGTATGACATGCTGCAGCTAATGTGTAATTTTCTATTTTATTCATTACAATTGCACAGTTGGAGTCAATATTCTACTTAATTGAAGGTTGTAATAATTACTTTCCCTGTTCCATACAAGGAAAATGTTAACATGAGTTTTCCAAGCACTTTTTTCCTCCACTGGTGCTAGAGTTAACATAGCACAACAATTAAATAATCAAGCGCAATTTTTTTTTAGATTTTCTCCCTCTGGATAGTGTTTATTTTTAAACCTTTACATTTTTCTAAACTAGAATGTCAGGTATTAGATAAAGTGTTTTGTTTAAATGTCGTCACATTAATTCCTTTTCCTATTCTCGGACATCAGCCAGTTTGATGTAAATGTTTCTTGTCCTTGGGGGGTCCTTTTAATCAGCCAGATTTACATTTTTTACCTTTAAAATCCTTTACAAAATACAAGCATTTTTGATAATGAAAGGAAGCACATCAAGAAGGGCTGTTCACTCCATCTGTTGTTGTACAGAACCCATAATTAGGGGCCTCACTACCTGTTGAAACTGTTTATACAGTGTACAATAAATTGACAAAAATATAGAATGAAAATTTATTAATATGAAAAACATTTCACGGACCACTATTTTGGCGTTATTCGCAACACTTGTTCTGATATAGGATGTTTGTGCAGATTTGCTTGCTTGATTGAACCAAAGCCTACATCTTCATGCAAAATGTGTAGTTAAGTGAGGATTTGTAAAAAAAATCATCAAATGCCTTCTCAAAGCTGGTTGATGTCTATGCAGGTTAGTGTGGTGCAGGATTCCGTGAACATTTCTGGTCAATCCAGCATGAGTACATTGAAAGTGCCAGATTGCCGGCTGGCAGTTGACTTCGGGGAGATCTGGGACAATTCCCGCTTCACAGACTGCCTGCTTCGTGTTGGTGGCCAGGAGTTTAAAGCACACAAGGCCGTATTGGCAGGTCTGTGCAACAACAAGCAACACAAGCGTCGTTTAGTATGCAATAGAACCATATAATTAATGATACTGTAATTAGTTTGGGGTAATCAACTACAGCCATTTCCTGTTTTACACTGAACTTTATTAACTAACACTGGCAAATGCTTACGTCAATTTGTAATGCTTTTTGTTAAAGGATACATCAGTAAATATGTGTAGTGAATTCAACTGAGTCGCAGACACACTTCTTGGATGCAACACATTTCTTCAACCAACACATGGGGTACTACCCCTTAACACACAACCTATGGTGGTGGGCCACCAGGCTATCTACACTAATTACATGGGAATTAGCTATGACGGACCGGACCCTGGCCGGGGTCCGGGTCCACGTGTTGGTGACTCTTGTAGAACGTAGATTCTTCAGGATGAACAACAGCAGCCGGTCCCTCTCGGGGACCCGGCTTTTATTCTCTGTGGCGGGGCTGGCTCCTCCCTTAGCCACGACCACCTTCTGGAATCCTCGAGCAGGTTCCCGGCCCTGACACGTGACCACCCCTAGCCCCCACCAGGGGCCCCTGTGTAGACTTTACCGGTCACGTGTCCTTCGGGGTCAAGTGCCATGGCCCTTGGTAACCCCATTCCCATGGCCGGCACTCTCACACCCTATCCTGTAGGGGTCGGCACCGCACGCAGAGCGTGGTGCCACTCAGCACTGTCAGACAGCGCTCACCAAGCCCTTCTCGGGCCGGTACTGCACCCACATAGTGGTGCCCGCGATGTTAATACATCGCACGCCGTGCCTTTCTATAGCCGGCATTACACAGTGACATTCGCGATGTCACTACATATATATAAATGTAATATTGTATTGTGTGAGAGATAAACATATTTAATAATCCTGTTGCTAAAGTTTTTATTTACTTCACTATATCATCGTTGTGCAGGAATTCATTTTACACAATGCAGTTAAGGTGTAGGTTTTGAGCCTCTAATTTGGACAACATTTATTTGTGTCCATGTTTTACAAATCTGTAATGGATATGCCATATGAAATAAAATATGGATCTGGATTTTACCTCTTTTGTATGTAGATTATTTGATCTCTAGATATAACATCTAAATGTGTTTGTACCACATTCCGGTGTTTTTCCAATTCATTCTACAGTAAAACCTTGAATTGCGAGTAACTTGGTCTGCAAGTGTTTTGCAAGACGAGCAAAATAAATAAATATTGCTTTGATTAACGAGTGAGGTTTTGCAATACGAGTAGTACGTATACGCTTTGTCTGCCGAGCGTCACATGATCACAACTGATATATGAGTGCTTCGATATACGAGTGCTTTGCATTACACACGTTTCCGGAACAAATTATTCTCGCAATCTAAGGTTTTATTGTATTTGCTAACAGTTGCTTTACCTTTTTCAGGTCGGTCACTTGTTTTTAATGCTATGTTTGAACATGAAATGGAAGAGAGCAAAAAGGTATCTTTAAATGCAATCTTAATACAGCACATTAATACTGTGATCATACATTTCCAAGGTGCATTTGTCACAATTGATGGTTGATAAGTATCTCTTGAGTGTGCTGTCAAATGTTGAACTATTATCCTAGTAACTCTTTTGGCGCATTGCACGTTTATTATCAAAAAGTATTCATTCCGAGGGAATGTTAGATTGTATTTTATAGCTATCTTTTATACAACATTTCACAGAAGGCCATTGCATGTGTGTCAAGAATGGATTTATTACGCACAATAAATAGATAGTCAAGTTGAATACAACTTTAATGGAGCCACTTTACATGTGTTGTGTAGATTTAAAGGATGTTTATTTTATTTAATTTCATGCTATATTCTTGTCTCCCAATATATGCCGAAGTTAATTTGAATATATTGTGTTGCTACCTTGCAGAATCGAGTGGAGATTAATGATGTAGAGCCTGACGTGTTCAAGGAAATGATGCGTTTTGTCTATACGGGAAGGGCTCCAAACCTCGAGAAGATGGCTGATGACCTGCTGGCCGCTGCTGACAAGGTTACACGTTTAAAATATTAATATGAGATCGCACCACCTTGTGATGTATCGGTATGCAGTTGTAGGTCGCAAGTGAATATTAAAACAGCATTTAGTTATTTTCTAAAGCCCATGTTACAAATAATATGAATAGCAAGTGTATATGATGTAGACGTTCACATTTGTGCTTTAAGGTTTGGAATTGATGTCCTGGGAGATGATTGAATTTTCAACAAAAAATATAAATTGTCATGCAATTTCACAATTGAATTGAATGTCAAACTAGTATTAGTCCATGCTAGAGGCTAGTACGTGTGCATTGAAGTGCATTCACATGCAGCATTTTTTTCCTAAGTGCAATCATTTGGCTGTGTGTTCTTGTATTGAGGGTTTTTTGTTAATCACATTAACAATTGATACAATTATTAATAAAATAAAGGGAAGTGTTTTAAAACATTGTTTGATGTGGCATGGCTGTATAGAAATAAATTGGAACAAATATACTTTTACTAAGGAAACGGATATCCTGCTGTTCCTGAAGATCTGCCAGATAATCAGTTAAGAGTCATTACTCTCCCTTCTGGAACATCATATTCAATAGTTCCTAAAGCAATTGTAATGAAATAATAATAAAAATCGTATAAAGTCGCATGTTTAAGCTTTGTTCATTAAAGTTTAATATTCTGCTAGAGTTGAAATATGGTGGCTTGCAGTTGCATTTTTTATCAGCTTAACAACCAAACTATTTAAGCTCTTGGCAAACAACACCTCACCTCCTTTGTAATTTGCATGACTTTGTAACCAATATAATCAAGTTTAGGACAAGGACCCCTAATTATAGTAGTGATCAATAAATACATGACTTAAAACATAAATATGCTGAAAGGTTGATGCCATGTTTTAAGAAAATTCTCAAACATTTGACTGCTGTCTGCTGCGTTTTCAAAGTAGTTGTTGGGGTGAGGGAATGTTATACAAGCGAAATAGGTAGAGAAAATAGTGTTCTTAATGCTGAAATTGCACTTTGTTTTTACTTTTCTCAAGTATGCTTTAGAGAGGTTGAAGGTGATGTGCGAGGAGGCACTATGCACAAACTTGTCGGTGGAAAATGTTGCGGAGACTTTGATCTTGGCCGATTTGCACAGTGCAGAGCAGTTGAAGGCCCAGGCCATTGACTTCATAAACAGGCAAGTCCAGTGAGAGTGTGACTGTCACTGAGCTGCGTAACATTGATGATGCTTACATGGCAATTTGCATTACAGTCCCTTTTAACGGAGACTAACCGTTTGCCCCAATCCTTGTAGACACTGCTTATTATGAGCTCGCTTAACCCTGACTTGTACTTGCAGTCATGCGACGGACGTAATGGAGACGGCGGGCTGGAAGTCCATGGTTTTGTCTCACCCTCACCTGGTTGCGGATGCTTTCCGTGCCTTGGCCACGGCCCAGTCTCCACAGCTGGGACCTCCACGCAAGCGTCTCAAACAGACTTAACGGTGGCAGGCAAAGAACATCTATGACCAGGAAAACTTGAGCTGCACAGCGCGGTTATTTACCTGTGGCCTCCATGCAAACAACAGTGAAGACTTTGCATCAGACTACCAACTTTCCTCTGCATTGAAAATAATGTTAATTTAAGCAAATATGTTTACTTTCACAAAAAGGTGGCCAAATTTACTTTACCATGTAATATAGTGCTACATCTATACATCTCCGACTCTATAAACAAGTACATATGTAGAAAAAGTGGAAAACTACAACCTAATAAACACCACGACATATCCCAATTGAGAGAGTGTAAAATAAAACGTCCGATGTGATTGTCCCTATTTGGCAGGACAATTTGGTTCAATTGTTTAGTTAAGTAAAAACAGAATGGTCTAAAACCCTGCAATGTCTACCTTAACATGAAGGATGAGTATTCGTCCAGTGTCTGTGTACTCAAGGTTACAGATAGTGGTATAGGGAACAACAGTTCTGAAAGATAAGAATGTGCCAAGCCATATAAGGCCTTCAAGAGGTAAACTTTTCAGATTGATTTTTCATTGCACAGACAGCTTATGCATTGACTAGAACAGGAGTACTATGATTGCCAAGTTTGAAGACTGACAAAGATAATATTGCAGTCGTGTATCCTGCGTATAACAAAGCATGGATGGAGTGCTCGGTGTAAGAAAAGGCAAGGCACATCATCAATTTGGCTATGTTACGCAGTTGATAACATTTCACTTTTTTGCTTGTATGGGCTTTCATGTGTGACCCAAAGATTTTTGACTTACAACAAAAGTAAATCTTATTTACATCAATTTAGTCATTTGTATTCACGGAAACAAGATGTGCTGTTTTCTAAGTTTTGTTTCGTATTATATTGTAATGATTTGTTTTTATTATGAATTTCATCTATTACCCACTCGTAGCATCAGGTCAACGCAGAGTTTTACGTGATTGGAAGGACCATATTTTTTGCATCAGCGCTGTTTTACGTAACCTCCCATTTAAAATTAAAGTGTACATAAAATTGCATAAGCTTTGAAGGATTACACACATAGATTTGGAAGCACCATTTAAATAATATTTAAAGCTGCAGGATATAATATGAAAGTACAACAAATGAGCAGTGTCATGGATTTGAGTCGATTTGAAGAATATTACAATCTAATGCAATGTGTTGGGATATGAACAGATGCAAACGACAAGAATGTTGGAGGTTTTTTTACGTGTTAAACGTACAAAAACAAGTTGGATAATACATGCAAAATTAAGGATAGCCAGTGTTGTAAACAGTCTATTTATTTTGTATTTGTTTAATATTTTAGTTTCGTCCTTAAATATATATTTGATGCTAAAGATGTATATGGTACAGTGCACTCTACCTATTCAATTAAAAACTGATAAGGTGATTCGGAGAAGTTATTTGTTGTCATGGTGAGAGTTAAAGCATTGAAATCTGATTGGGGTTCTAATCTGCAGCAAGTCTATGCTGTCATAAGTGAGTGTGACAAAAACTTTTAGAAGATTGCAGCCAGTGCGGTGGACTAATTGACCCCTGAAATGTATCAGGCAGTTACCGATAATGTACTCTTCAAATTGTTGCCTTGTATGATTTCCGAAATTGAAAATACTTTGCGCCAAATGTAAATGTTTATTGGAAAATGGATATACTGTAACTGCCAAAAAATATATAATTGCAGTAATAATAATATGGCCTTTGTAAAAAGTGTGTGTTTTGAAAAAGTGTGATTGCATGCAAGACAGTTTTGGGTTCTTCCCACGAGTTTTTTTGCATATTCAGAGATGAAAATATGTTATATTGGTTTAATTTAAAATTTTTGCTACAATTGTAATACAAACATATAAACTTGAAGCTAGTAATGCGGTATAGTGCCCCAATGTTTGACCTTTTATCTTTTTCCATTACAGATAATACTGTTTTGGATGTAATATAAATGTTTTGTAAGGCCCTTTTACAATGAATTGTCAGCAGATGATTGGAATGGCAAAATAAACCATTCTTGTATATTACGTGTTTTCTAAATTGATTTGCATTATAAATGGCAATATAAACCCTTTTCATATGGTAAATATATTGCCGTTATCTGATCTCTTCTAGAAACCAGTATTTGGATATAAGAAAGCTGCTTTTAGCTCTGCACCACTTATTCCACATTTTTTTCATTAAATTTTTTTTTCATAATGTTAATATTTTCATTTATGACATTTTGCAGTGTTACACTTTTTTCGGTGAAGTCTCGTAGAAAGATATTACTACGTGACTTTGCCCGAAAGAATCAGAGTAATTCCTGCAGTCACGAAAGCTTTGAATCTATTTTGCAGTGTATTTAAAAGTTGAATAAACATGAATGTATCTGGAAATATGTCCAGTTTAAGTTGTTATGGTCTTTACTCTGGGAATGTTACAGGTATGTGGATATATCAAATTTCAATTGACACCCAACAGCAACATTTTAACAAGTTGTATTTTGGAGCCAAAGGTAAACTTAAGTGTATATTTCCTTGCCACTTTTAAAGGCATGTTTACCATGTGTTGATAAACAGTTCACTGGAGAATTGTAATGTGTTCACTGTTCATCATTTACAGCGTTTTGTCAACCCACTGCTTAAACGAAGGCCTCACCACACACCATGTCGGTCATTCTTCACCCACTATTGTTAACTGTGGCTGGGAATTGAACTGGTTGTTTCGTCAGTTTCCTAGTGCCACCACTCTATTCAATTACATCCTGTTTAATGTCGCATTCTATTTTTGGTGATCATTCGTTCAGTATTTTCTGCTGAACTGAGTGTTGCATTTATTCATTTTAAATGTACTTTTTGCTTGGTTACATTTTGCTCAGGTAACAGCTCGCATTTGCAGTAAATGGTGCCATACATCAATGTCTTGTCTGGCATTAGACACGTCTGTACGAGCAGTGTTTTCATTAGCCTCCATTTATCAGTTAGGGGAACAACTGAGCTCGAAGGGGCAGTACGTGTCGTTCTGGTCACTCAACACGACGTGTACTTTTCACGGACCATGAGAAAACGCGTTGCAACAACAACATGCATAAATACAAACTGACAATTTCAGCCAGTGCAGCTTTATATAGCATGACCACATCGATTCAAGTTTCACAAACTTCTTATTCGTATGTGCAGACGTATAGCAACTACAATAATGTTTCTTTGAGATGGTAGAGCCGGATCACTGCGTCAGCTGTAGCAGATTGTATCACTGTAATGCCTCCATTATTTTTGTGAATCGGGCATTGAATTGTTATATGTTCCATGGTTCTGGGTGACCCCAGTCGCATACTGGAGTTTTTTTTTTATTTTCCTTTTTTGTGCATCGACCGGATGTTTAGGGTAGCCCGTAAGCTTTGCGGAAGATCGAAGCCAGGTACCTTTTACATCGGGTCTTTTATGAGGTGTTTGTGTCTTGTGGACTTCATTCGGATTTCCAAGAATCACGTTTGAATGTTGACTTAAAGCTTTCGTGACTGCAGGAATTCACATTCTTGGGTCTTTCGGTAAAGTCACGTAGATAGGTTCAAATAAAATAACAAAAAAACTACGACGTTTAGATCACAACACAAACAATCGTCATCAGGAGAGCAATCTTATTATCCCTGAGATCAGGTCTAGGCCAGCCCTGAACAACATCCGTTTACCATTGGGAGAAGTGACAACAGCATATGTCAGTGTAAAGGCGATCGGTATTACCTTAGTGTCACGGCATCTCTTCAGAAATGGAGCGACTTGATCGAGTCGACGGATCTTGTTCAGGGCTGGCCTAGCCCTGATCTCAGAGATAATAAGATTGCTCTCCTGATGACGATTGCTTGTGTTGTGATCGCAACGTCGCAGTTTTTTGTTATTTTCTTTGAACCTATCTACGTGACTTTACCGAAAGACCCGAGAATATCACTTTTGAAGTTACATTGTTGAAGGTTAAGCGCGTGGGTCCAAAAAGGCTTGCGCGACTCGAGTGCTGGCGAGGGACTGTATTGAGATCCGAGTGGATGGGGAGACGTTCGTTTTTCCACGATTTGCTGTGCTTCCCGGACAGTTGCAGTATTGAGGCAAATGGATGGGGAAGTGATGTGTGGCAACTCGAGAAGCCAGGATTTTGGATCCTGCTTTAAGGTTCCAGTGCCACCGCATTGCATCGTTCAATTGGACATCAACAAGCCGGGTGTGTGCCGAGCTATTTATGGTCCATGCCGTTGCACAGAATACACGAGGACCATGGCTTATACCATAGCACCGGTGATAAATAAGAATTATCAAACAAGAACATGGAACAAAAGCTGAAAAGTATTCAGGAAAAAAGCGTGGAGCGGTGCATGCTGAGAGTTACTCTGGGATGGAAAGAGGAATGCAGATGTACTGACATCGCAGACGTCGCTGTGTAATGTCGGCGCTAGAGGGGCACGGCGTGCGATGTACTCACATCGCGGACATCACGTATAGAGTGACATCGTGGGTGTCACTGTGTAATGCCGGCGCTAGAGGGGCACGGCGTGCGATGTACTCACATCGCGGACACCACTTGTATGTGGGTGTCGTGCTGGCCCGAGAGGGGCTCTGTGAGTGCTGAGTCATAGCGCTGAGCGGCACCACGCTTAGGTGTGCATTGCCGACCCCTATAGGATGGGGTGAGAGTGTCAGCCATGGAATCGGGTTACTATAGGCCATGGCACTCTGGTTGACCCCGGAGAACACGTGACTGGTAAAGTCTCCACAGGGTCCCCAAGTGGGGGGCTAGGGGTGGTCACGTGTCGGGGCGAGATCCTGCTCGAGGATTCTAGAAGGTGGTCGTGGCCAAGGGTGGGGCCAGCCACGACCACGGAGGATATAAGCTGGGTCCCCAGCGTTGCTGTTGTCATCCTGAAGATCTACATTCGACGTCCGTGAAGAGTCACCAACACGTGGACCTGGACCCAAGCTGGGGTCCTGTCCGTTGTAGCTACTCCCAGTGTAGTTAGTGTAGATACCCTGGTGGTCACGTAGCTAGTTACGGTGTAATTAGTGTTATTAGCCTGGTGGTCACGTAGCTAGTTACGGTGTAATTAGTGTAGTTAGCCTGGTGGTGACATAGCTATTTACGGTGTAATTAGTGTAGTTAGCCTGGTGGTCACGTAGCTAGTTACGGTGTAATTAGTGTAATTAGCCTGGTGGTGACATAGCTATTTACGGTGTAATTAGTGTAGTTAGCCTGGTGGTCACGTAGCTAGTTACGGTGTAATTAGTGTAGTTAGCCTGGTGGTCACGTAGCTAGTTACGGTGTAATTAGTGTAGTTAGCCTGGTGGTTATGTAGCTATTTACGGTGTAATTAGTGTAGTTAGCCTGGTGGTCACGTAGCTAGTTACGGTGTAATTAGTGTAATTAGCCTGGTGGTGACATAGCTATTTACGGTGTAATTAGTGTAGTTAGCCTGGTGGTCACGTAGCTAGTTACGGTGTAATTAGTGTAGTTAGCCTGGTGGTGACATAGCTATTTACGGTGTAATTAGTGTAGTTAGCCTGGTGGTCACGTAGCTAGTTACGGTGTAATTAGTGTAATTAGCCTGGTGGTGACATAGCTAGTTACGGTGTAATTAGTGTAGTTAGCCTGGTGGTCACGTAGCTAGTTACGGTGTAATTAGTGTAGTTAGCCTGGTGGTTACGTAGCTAGTTACGGTGTAATTAGTGTAGTTAGCCTGGTGGTCACGTAGCTAGTTACGGTGTAATTAGTGTAGTTAGCCTGGTGATCACGTAGCTAGTTACGGTGTAATTAGTGTAATTAGCCTGGTGGTGACATAGCTATTTACGGTGTAATTAGTGTAGTTAGCCTGGTGGTCACGTAGCTAGTTACGGTGTAATTAGTGTAGTTAGCCTGGTGGTGACGTAGCTAGTTACGGTGTAATTAGTGTAATTAGCCTGGTGGTGACGTAGCTAGTTACGGTGTAATTAGTGTAGTTAGCCTGGTGGTTATGTAGCTAGTTACGGTGTAATTAGTGTAGTTACCCTGGTGGTTACGTAGCTAGTTACGGTGTAATTAGTGTAGTTAGCCTGGTGGTTACGTAGTTAGTTACGATGTAATTAGTGTAGTTAGCCTGGTGGTCACGTAGCTAGTTACGGTGCAATTAGTGTAGTTATCCTGGTGGTTACGTAGCTAGTTACGGTGTAATTAGTGTAATTAGCCTGGTGGTGACATAGCTATTTACGGTGTAATTAGTGTAGTTAGCCTGGTGGTCACGTAGCTAGTTACGGTGTAATTAGTGTAATTAGCCTGGTGGTGACATAGCTAGTTACGGTGTAATTAGTGTAGTTAGCCTGGTGGTCACGTAGCTAGTTACGGTGTAATTAGTGTAGTTAGCCTGGTGGTTACGTAGCTAGTTACGGTGTAATTAGTGTAGTTAGCCTGGTGGTTACGTAGTTAGTTACGATGTAATTAGTGTAGTTAGCCTGGTGGTCACGTAGCTAGTTACGGTGCAATTAGTGTAGTTAGCCTGGTGGTTACGTAGCTAGTTACGGTGTAATTAGTGTAGCTAGCCTGGTGGTCACGTAGCTAGTTACGGTGTAGTTAGTGTAGTTAGCCTGGTGGTTACGTAGCTAGTTACGGTGTAATTAGTGTAGTTAGCCTGGTGGTTACGTAGTTAGTTACGATGTAATTAGTGTAGTTAGCCTGGTGGTTACGTAGCTAGTTACGGTGTAATTAGTGTAGTTAGCCTGGTGGTCACGTAGCTAGTTACGGTGTAATTAGTGTAGTTAGCCTGGTGGTCACGTAGCTAGTTACGGTGTAGTTAGTGTAGTTAGCCTGGTGGTTACGTAGCTAGTTACGGTGTAATTAGTGTAGTTAGCCTGGTGGTCACGTAGCTAGTTATGGTGTAATTAGTGTAGTTAGCCTGGTGGTCACGTAGCTAGTTATGGTGTATTTAGTGTAGTTAACCTGGTGGTCCACAACCATAGGTTGTTATCTGGTAAAGGGGCAGTTACCCTTTTGTGTTGGTATCAATAAATGCGTTGCCTCCAAAGAGTACGTTCTGCGACTCAGTTGAACTCACTATACATATATTATCACCAGCCATGACCTATCCACAAAGAACAAGCACGCTGAAGGCTTCGCGTTGACTGAAAAAGGTAGTGGAGGCTGGGGCAGACACATTGTCAGAAGGTACAATGGCTCTTGGGTTGGACTGGTGCTGGAATAGCATCCAAAGGAGAGAACGCACTCGGCAGGGTGACTGCTGTGAGTGATGCGATGAGTTCTGGCATCGCAAGATGGTCGGGGGATGGCAACAATGCGTACAACTAGCAGTGGAGAGATTGTGGTTTATGATAGAAGATATTATTTCAAATGCTTAACTTCCATGGTGCCTTCACCATTGCTGCACTGTATTGTCCTCGTTTCGGCTTTTATTACAAACCTCTTTGTGGTCGGAGATAATTGGTGGCATTCCAAACACCTTTTAATCATATTCTTGGTTCTTTCGGTAAAGTCATGTAGAAGGGAAACAATAAAATAATAAAAATATAAAACAATACAATTCTCACGATGTTTCGACTGCAACACAAGCAATCATCATCAGATGATTGATCTGATCAGATGATTGATCCGATGATTGCTTGTGTTGCAGTCGAAACGTCGTGAGAATTTTATTGTTTTATATTTGTATTTTTTTATTGTTTCCCTTCTACGTGACTTTACCGAAAGAACCAAGAATATGAATCCCTGCAGTCACGAAAGCTTTAAACCTTTTAATCAGTTGTGTTGATCCCGATTGGCTTTTTTATGCTTTGGCAGATTAAACGCATTTCTTTACACTCAACAATGGGTTTTTGAAATCATGAATCGTCTATAATTGTAGTATTGTATACGTAACAATATTGCCCTTTATCCAGGAAAGCCTCAGGGTTCCAGGACTCTTTGTCAGGAGACGCAGGCATCGGGATGTTTGGCCAATGCCACTCACCCGTGTTTGGCATGTGGGAGAAAACCAACCACGCATACGAGGGGGTGACACCTCACAGCTTCACACAGACTCAATGATCCCTTGGCTGCGCTGTCTTCTGTGCACGTGGCTGCCGTATTAAAATTGGTGACAAAAATACAAAAATGTTTCTTTCGAGTGTAACAGAAGATTACTTTTTTTATCACGCGCTTTCCACTGGAGGGTGTAAACTAATAAAAGAAACGCTGATCAAGCGGTCATATTAAGATAATTCAGTACAAACCAAACAGATCATTTATAATCTTTATGATCGATGTATTCATATTAAGTGGTTGTAGATTAACCTCAATATTAATCGGTGCAGTGTAGCAGTTTAATAAAATGTAGTTAATGAAGAAACCATGTCATACAATCGGGAATATGCCACGGTGTAATGTCAGTAGTCACACTTGCTTTGGGGAATAACATGTAAAAAAAACATGTAAAAAACATGTTACTACAATAAGTACAAATAATCGTAGAATATCATGTCAGTTATCTATATGAAATGCAAACCGAATGTCTACTATAAAACATGAGCAATTTAAAAGCCATCGGCGATTACAAGCCATCATGCTATGACATTGTCACGATAACAATGGTTATTTTGTGTGTCTAAACAAGAAAACAGAGGTGACATTGTACAGTAAAGCTACATAACCTGTAACGTACACTCCCTTTTAAAAGCAACACTAATATAGGTTATTTTGATATATTTCGTATAACACAGTGCACAGACGATCACATCCAACACCCTTCGTTGTGTAAATAATTGTTCCAATTATCATTTGGTATCGTCATTATTTACACGTTTGAGTAACACTATTTGAAATTTCACAACCGTAGATATAGCACCAGTACACACATTTGCTACCGTGTGTGAATCACTAACCGTAATTACACGGAATATTTTGAGATATGCTTTTTGCACTTGTGATTCAAATGCATGCACATTTGAAATGTTTGAAAATGCACCGTAATGATAAAAAAACGGTAAAAAAACTGTATGATACTGCACTTTTGAAAATGTTAAGGCATTTGCTAAATACAATGATACAAAAAAGCATGCATTATTGTAGGCTATTAAAGGCTACAGCGGTAGCTGTTCAGGCATTGTGTTGAAGCAATTGAGCGGGAGGGCATCAGATGTTTGTGTCCGCTGAGAAATGGTCCTTCCCACACACGTAAACCGTGCGGTAGAAGGTTCTGTAGATCATCTTATAGGATTTCCTGTAATGAAACGTACGAGCCAGTGTGTTAACATGCAGTGCACAGCAATATAACACACAAAAAACTGCAATGCTCGTTAGTCACGTGATTTGATTTGCAATTTGTTATTTAGTAAATCGTTTTTTGGAATGCCGTCTGAAATGTAAGGTACCTTTTCTCTAGATAATGTTGCCGACCGATAAGTTGGCTCATTATATTTCAAAGTAACCCACATTTGTTAACTATACTGTGCTTGTGCGAATCATCAAACCCGGGGCGCACGCGCGCTCCGAATGCACGCCGCCTGATAAAATTCTACCGAAAGAAATACTTCGCACAATGCACATGTGGTAAGGCTATACGCGCAGTGCGTTTCAACGTGGAAAAAGGCACCACATTTGCATATCTCCACCCAAATACCGAACGTCGGAATATGTCATTAAAATGTGCGTATGGCGCAGCGAGAATGTTATCTGCCCCCCCCCCTCCTCCTCTCCCCCTTTGCATGTGCAAAGCCTGACTTGAGCTGGTAGCAGGCGTGGCGGGGTCTCCAGGGACCACAGCTGACAGCCACGCGGTGCTTGCTCAGCTGACTGTATCCGCGACGGAACGACTGCGATATAGTGCTCATCACACACTGCCTGTGGCGGTGGAGGGGGTGGGTGGGGGGCACACGACGCAGCACACACACACAGACAGAGAGAGAGAGAGCCGCGCTTGACCGGCGGCACGCCACGACGCCACTGCGTCCGTCCCTTTCTGCCCTCGGCGCGTTTTGTTGGGGGGGCATTTTACGGCGCCGGCGATCGACGTTTTGCGTGCGTCGCCGCGGCTCCGATGAGGGCAACGAGAAACCAGATTGATTACCGAATGTATGGTGAGCTTCTTTCGCAGCGTACGTAGCCGGCCGTGCTAAACACAACCGTGATGCTGTTATGGGTGATTGCTGAAATGAACACTCTTGATTTGATGAATGCGTTTACATTTTAGTTTTTTTTTTTTTTACACCCCGACGCCTGTTCGCTGAGGCGGCGCGTCCTCAACCTCGACGAGTCCATCGCATTATGACACGAGTATTTTATTTATACCGTATTCAATGACTGTATCATCATCATCATCATGACGAGCAGCAGCGGTGATCGATTCGCTGCTTCATGAAGACTTCCCCACGTCGCCAATCTTCCATAAGCTCACGATGCAGCAATTAATCTAGTTCCCACACGTGAGCTCATCTCATTGCTCCGTCTCCACAGCGAACGTCCCATTCGGGCGTTATACTACCCTGCGTTTTTTACTGCCACTGCCCCATCCATTGCATCCACCGCCCATCAGATTTTATTCACCACGGGGTCTTAGCCGTGGCCAGGAATTGAACTCGGGTCGCCGTTTTCAAGGCGCAGTGTGATCCACTAGCGCCGCTACGCCTATCAACCCAGAGACGCAGCAGTTGAGCGTTCATTTCACAATCGGATGCCCGTTGCGTTGATTAGCTTACATTGACTAAGCTAATCATCCATCTGGGATCGAAAAAATGAGTGCCACTTTGTGGGCAGTCAACAGCGGTTGTCCGCCGGAGAGACTCACCCCCTGCCGTAGCGGTGTTGAATTTCTGCCTCAGTTTCGAGGGCGCAAACAGATGAGATGAGATAAGAGTGCCACTGGGTGCTCAATTTTGTCGGAAGGCACTTTGACTTCTTTGTGATATGTCGCAAAGTGAAATTTGTGGTGAACAGAAGGCTTCTCGGATGGAGCTCACTACTGATTGCGCCAGGTGTTTTGCATGAAAAGACATCTTTCGTTTGCTCTCACCTCTTCTCACAGGTTTGACCCTGAAACCCAGCAGGGCAAATGCACCTCCCATCAGAGCACCTGCCCCCATTCTTGCAGGGACTCGGACAGAGTGCTTTGGGAAAACAAGAGAGGTTTGTTGTGAATGAGAACGGGGTGGAGGTGGGGATGGTGGGGGCGCCCTCAGATAGACGTGTAAAACTTTAAACATGAGGTGCTAGAATATCAGTGTGTAGAAAACACTGCATTTAGTTTTGACAGTCGTTAAATAAACAATAGCCAGCTCGATATCTTTTCAACGGCACGAAGTTGCTGGGCAGGAACATTTGTCAGGATTCTTCTTGAACAGGGTTTTTTTTTGACGATGAGACAGGACCGCGTGATATGTGCCGTTTATTTCTTGCGCAAGGGGGTGATCTCAGGTTCGCGAAATGTAGTTCGTACCTTTGTGGCATAGAGCACCGCCATAATTCGGTGGACACTTGCAGCGATTTGGACCCACGCATGCACCACCGTTAAGGCACTTGGATCTGCATTTAACTGAAAGGTCACACACAAACGGTAACAGAGCAACCAGTGCTCTTGAGTGTCAGGAGACGCAGAGATCCTCCTTCGAGAAAGACGCCCACTTTGTTAAACCACAAGAATTAAACCAAGTACTGCGCATCAGCAATGATAATAGTAACTAACGGCCCTTTGTCAATCCACTGCTGGATGAAGGCCTCCCTGTGCCATGTCAGTAACGGGGGTTGTTTGACCATACTTCACCACACTGCTCAATGTAGAACTGGTCCAGATGTTACTCACCGCTGATGTTATTCGTAGCAAAGAATCGAGTCCAAGTGGCCAGGTTCATCACGCAGTAGGCTAAACACCGTCATACTACTCTTCCCCACTTCACCACATAATTAAAAATCATATATAATGTACATTGATAAATAATGAAACCATATATTTTAAAAAATAAAATTAGTTTTTCAGGCTGTTGTATTCCCTTGTCCATGCTGTAAATTAATTGGTGTGAGTCTCAGTGTTGCAAATTGCATTAATACGATCCATTATGAATTTTGATTTAAAGCTTTCGTGACTGCAGGGATTCATATTATTGGTTCTTTCGGTGAAGTCACGTAGAAGGGAAACAATAAAATAATAAAAATATAAAACAATAAAATTCTCACGACGTTTCGACTGCAACACAAGCAATCATCATCAGGTGTGAAAACCACAAGAAAATTTGAACAAAGTGGCGGTTTTTTAACGTTAGCACCACGGAGAGCGATTTGACAGTTTGTTCAGATGGACGAGCCAATCTATGTTCGGAAAAGAGGAGCCATAGAGCCCAATGCATATCCGACCAGGAACACATAGCCAGTGAACTCAAGCACGTACACCAAGCTCTTAAGTCTAATGGTTATTCCAACCACACAATCCACGAAACTATCACTCCAACCATGAAGAAGGATCCTCTTGAGGAGCCTTTCAAAACCATCACTTTACCCTAGATTGCGGGAATCACAAAAACGATCTCCAAAATCTTGAATAAACACAAGAATAAACACATTACATAAAATCCGTGATCTGGTTCCATCCGTACATACAGTTACAGCAAGATCGCTGCATCAAGTGATCTTGCTGTGACTGTTCCACCTGAAGACGGAAGCTTGTGTTACCTCCGAAACGTCGTGATTTAATTGTTTTCTTTTATTTTTATTTTACCTACGTGACTTTACCGAAAAAATCCAAAGAGTATAGATGGACTCGTCTATCTGAATAACTGACAAATCGCTCTCCGTGGTGCTAACATTAAAAACACCGCCACTTTTTTCAAACTTTCTTGTTGTGGTTTTCACACCTGATGATGATTGCTTGTGTTGCAGTCGAAACGTCGTGAGAATTGTATTGTTTTATATTTGTATTATTTTATTGTTTCCCTTCTATGTGACTTTACCGAAAGAACCAAGAATATGATCCATTATGTTTGGTTCTTCGCTGTGCTTCTCAGACTCACGTTAATATGATCCCCAATTTCTACCTACACACATTCGCCAAAATTCTCCATTTATCAGGCACAATGGAGTTTCAGTCAGAATGCAATTTAATATGTGCTACATCCATGTAATAATTGGCTACCTTTAAAGTGTTACCCTTGGGTGCCAATGGGGAATAGCAGTTGATACTTGAGAACAACCATGCCAATTCATGATATTACTGCAAAATAACATTATCTCAGGCCGCTAAGATCGATGGTGTTTGCACAATTAGTCGGTGTAATTACAGCGTGGGTTATACAGACGGGCTTCGAGACAGTGTGGAGGGTAGGGTGGTGGTGGTGATTGGAGGGCCCCGTGCAATATTCCATGAGAAATTAAAGCCGTGTTCACACATGCACCGATTTGTCGGAGCATACCAGAATTATTGAGCACACCAAAAGAGAGTACGAAGGGTTCATCAATGATATGCATGTGCAGTGGCGTAGTTGTTGTGTTTGCAGGCTGTGCAACTGCACCAGAGTCCATAGGCTGGAAGGGCCCAGGTGCCGGACTACATAGTGGAGGGGAATTTAATAAGAGGCCCCCCACTGATTGTCTTGCCCCTTGATCCATGCCAACCATGCTACGCCACTACACCTGTCAATAAAATGGAGCTGCTTTGATGTTTGTGACGGTGCTTGCCAAAGTGCTGTTAATGTCCCTGCTCCTGCACTCACATTTCTCGCAGTACCTCCCGTGAGATCCGTGCTTGCACTCGCACGTGTCGGGTGCGACACACACAGCGCCGTGACTACACGGGACGTCGCACTTGGCTTGAGCAAAAGGCAGACGGCACAAAGAATGAAGACGCACAATATGACACTGTGAACTTGCGAGACGATTTCGTTTTGCACGTGCAACAATTACCGCCATTCTGCTGGGTAAAATGTGTAGTCTAATCTTCTTGGCACTAAACATTTTATATAAATGTGAAGACCTTTGTCGATCCACTGCTGGATAAATTCCTCCACCACGATGTTTCTGCCATGGGGGTTGTTTGACCATCATTCACCACGTTGGTCAGTGTGGATTGGTGAAGGACAGGTAGGTGCCCAGAATTAGTTCAGATATCACTCGCTACTGATGTTATCTGTGATCAGTAATCAATCTTGAGTCGCTGCTGGGTTCATAGTGCATTGTGCTAACAATTGCACCGCTACTGCACCTTAAACATTGCATGTCATCATTGACCACGATCAATCCACAGCTGGATGAAGACCTCCCGGTGCTATCCGTGTACCTGCTTGAGTCCCGAGTGGTTGGGGTCATCTGAGTGCAAGTGGTGTGTGGTTATCCACGTCGGGTGAGTTTGCTCACCAACCTGCATTGACCAGGGTGTAACGACTAACGGTCACATTTCTTTCCCACAATTTTTACGCATCTTGATACATTAACCTGAATCTAAAAATGTTAAATATTCATCATTACGAGGAAATAAAACAGGAAGGAGACAGACTTCTAAACATGGATCTCTCTGCTAAAATGCAGTCATTTGATGCCACTATTTGTGATGTCTCAGGGAACACGATGTGACAAATCAAGCATGCCAGCTGATTTGGAAGAATGTCTCGATTCCAGCTCTCAAATCAACAGATAGACACGATGCTTATCTAAATAACCACATTGTACAGCTTACCGACCTACCAAGGAGTTAACCCGTTCTTTCGATGCCCTCTAGTACACAGGTAACTATAGGCTACGACAGGTGTTTCGTAAACCCAGTAAATACACCTTTCTGCGGCCCACTTTTCGCTTCACCACAAAATCAGCAGCCTGCAATACAATGCAGCGATACGGTCCAATTTACACTTCAATGGCGACTAATGGGAGATTCGAATGGACCGTGGAAGACTGGCCCACAAACCGCAGTTTGAGAATGCAGAGGATAGAGGGAAAAAATGCCGAGGAAATCCCGAACGGATACCCCACCCGCCCCTCCCCCAATCTCTCTCTACGAAGAGTTGACGGCGGGGATTTGAGAGGCAGCAGCAGCAGATGGTGGCCGTACGCTTGTGGCAGCGAAGCCCCGAGTAGCCGTCCCTGCAGGTGCACACGCCAGGAGCCGCGCAGCGCCCGCCGTTGACGCAGCCATCTCGGCACAGCGCTGTTCGGGGGGCATCGCCAGAGGCACACGGGAGGAGGAGCCTTTAGCCGTCGGCAGAATCCTTGCACCGGGTAGAGCGGCCCCAGACATCGTCGTCGTCGTTGTCATCGGCCGCTAAGTGATCGGAGTGGCGATGATGACGCGTTGGCGAATGTTCGTGCGTGTGTATGGTGGTCACAACGGTGACTTCCTGGGCCTCAATTATGTCGGCTCAGACTTAAATAAGTACCTTGTGTGCTGTGGATGCAACCTCAGCATTGGGGCGACAAAAGCGGCTTTGGGGCCGTCCATAAATGACGTCACGCGATTTTGGACGATTTTTGACCCCCCTCCTCGTCATTGTCACAAATGTGTGACCCCCCCCCCCCAAAAAAAAATAAACCATGCTTCAAATCGCTTTAAACTATTGTCATTGTAGTGCGTATTTATTGTGCCGCTGCACTCTGATGTTGTAGGAGAAAACATTTATTAACAAGTCTATTTAATTAAGTGGAACGTGTTGTCTATATTTATTTAAAGTTGCGCATTTTGATGTGACGTCACATTTCTCACCCCCCGCCCCTCGTCACACATCGTCACAAATGTCTGACCCCCCCCCCCCAGGTGCGTGACGTCATTTATGGGCGGCCCCTTTGGCGTGGTGTTGGCCACACCCCCTACTCATGTAGCCATGCCAACCTTAATGGGCAATGTTATTGCTAACAGTGCTTATCCCAACAAGGCTGTATGAGAGACCGCTGTTAATGATGGTGGGTTTATATCCACCAGTCTGAAATATCCCCTTGTGATTCAAATAAGTTGATGGTAGGCGTACCTTCTTCATGTGAAGACACGACAAATGGAATTGATGTACTGACCGTCAGAGTTATATATTTTGTTTACTGCAACCCGTTTTTCCTAATTTGGCAGACCATGAACAAATTACACACTAAGTGTTAAAAGTCATTACACGTGGAACCATGTTAAAGGATTTGCAGCATACACTGCAGTGTTGATTGACAATGGAGTAGAAACACTTTCACGTGAACACAGCGTGAACACATTTTTTAAGAGTAAGGGTTTCCAGAAATGAGCCATAGGTGGTTGTCACATGCAAAGGATCTTGCCTTATTGACCTTGTTATCACTTTCCATTGCTAAACACACACCTCCAGACCTCTAAATCTGCCACATATAATCGCTCATTATTTGGTTGAAAAATCTTAATACATTGAGATCTGCAGAGCTTGGGCAATTTATGAATGCACCAGGTCACCTCCCGCAGGCTGCTGTCTCTTCCAGCTCGTCTGCAGTTCCATGCCGATTGTGAGGCGTAATTTGCATGAACGTCGCTGTATGTAAAACTAAACATTGTTGTTTTTTATGAAATGCAGATGGCACAAACTCCAAATTTTTTTTTATGAAATGTGCACACGTGTCGGTGGATGGTAAGATATAGGAAATACACATACCGATGGTGCATCGCGCACCCACGTATCCCTTGGAACAAGCACACCGGTTACTGTTCAAGCAGGTACCTCCATTGTAGCACGGTGGATAGCAGAGGGCTACACACAAAACAAAAGACAGAATTTGAAACATGTTTTTTTATATATGTAAAATAACAATGATCATTTGAATCCCTTTGTCAATCCAGTGCTGGATGAAGGCATCCCCATGCATGTCGGTCATTAAGGTTATTTGACCATACTTCACCACGCTGGTCAGTGTGGGATGGTAAACGGGGGAAGTCCCAGGGACGATGAATAAATATGTAACTCTCCACTGATGTGAGTCACGGCTGCGAATTCAACTCAGATTTCTGGGTTCATGTGTATGTTCATCATCATTTTCATCAGCCATAATCCACTCCCAAAACCGTTGGCATCTCTCATGGTCCTGGGATGTAACGATCCATTTAGCACCGCGTAAGAACAGGACGCCTTCTTGATTCGATAATTACTCGATACGAGACGTACACCAGCTGAAGAATCAGACAGGCGAACGAGAGGCACAATTGAAATAAATACATCGCGACACGGTTGGCATAGATGAGGTGAGAAGGAAAGGAGAGCACCCCATACCTCTGAAGAGTGGCATACCCTTCCCTATCATAGGGGCACAGCTGACAGTAATTCTAGAGGAATGGGATTATATTATTTAGTGTCTCTGAGAATCGCACATAGTATTTGATCGCTCTCATCGGATAAGGCGACCGGAAAAAAACTGGCGGTGTACTTTCTCACTCTCGCTTGTGTAAAATTACGGGTTACCAGAGCACAGAATGCAATCTCACATTCACTCGGGTAAGATGGGCTGCAAGCACAGTGGCCAGATGTTAACTACCTCGCCTAGTATACAGGAGGTCGTTGGTTCGATCTCGACCCTGACGCCTGCAGCTGTATATTTGGATGTTCTCCCCTTGGTCTTGTGGCTTTTTCTCCGAGTCCTGCGGGTTTTCCCTCCCCATTCAGAAGCACGCGTTCGGAGTATTTGGCTGCTAGAAATTTTCACACGATAAGCCACTTCGTTGAGCTATCATTTGTGGCCAGGTCGCTTCTAAAAAAAAGAGCTATATAGCTCAGTGGGCCCTGGTAAAATAAAAATAGTTTTTATTTAGTATGAGAGCGCAACATTATCGTCGGTAATGGCATAAGACAGGAGGCGGCAGTGTGTATGTGGTGCATCTGCGTTCGGTCAATGCACTGCTGGATGATGCCTTTCCCCATGTTATATGGGTTGCTTGACCATACTGCACCACACTGGTCAATGTGGTTTGTTTGAAGGGGTTCAGATATCACTTCCAATTCATGTTATAGTCATTCGCTGTAATCGAACTTAGGTGGTTGAGGTCATAGCGCAGTGGGAAGCCTGCTGTGTCACAGCTAAGGAACTCTTATTCATAAAAAAAGACAAATTAGGATTTTTTCTTTAACTTTTTGCATAAAATATGCCCCTCCTACATATGACTACGTTGGGATTTTCTGACATGTAATGTCCGGTGCCTATTCGCGTCTTGCCCCTCACCTTTCCCAATGTCTTGGATACAGTGAAGATGATTGCACCTTGCAGTTCATTGTTGTTGTTCAATAAAGCTAACAAAACAATAACGTTGGGAGGAAAGCTGTAGTGCATGATACATATACTGCACATACCATAGCCTCTGTTGCGTGCTATCGAAGCTATCCTGATTACACCCCAGGTGCAATGCGATCCTGTACATTGGTACAATACTGCAGGATGAGCTGTGAAAGTATGCTGCCTACGCCGGGTTAAGTTTTCTATTGTTTTTCAATTAAGCGTGCATCCAATTACAAAAGTGTTCGTTTGCCTATTAATAATAAAACACGCCGCAATCATCAGGGAAAGCCGCTCTCCTTCCCCGGTGCACCATTAAGAATGCGTGCAGCAGCAGCACACACGCAGAGTTCTACAATTGCGACCTTATTAATGTGTGCAGCACTGCAGCACACACGCAGAGGTCCAGAGCTGCGGACTTAATTTGCACTGCAAATCACGCACCTATGACACCGCACATATTGTCATCCACATTGTGCAAAGACACCGTGACTCAGTGTATAGCTCACGCAGCTATAATGAAAGTAGCAGCTTCCAGGTCCATGAACCAATTAGCTTTTCATTTTATCCAAGTATATGTGTTTCAGTAGGTGTGTATGAATTTGACCGGTTTTTTTTTTTACGGCTGTGTTTAACCATTTTTTGATCAGAGCGGTAGTGTTGCTGTTAGCGCGCTGCGATACGAACCCGGCAATCCAGGTTCCATTCCTGCTCACCTTAAACACTAGTGACGATTAAAATGATCTGAACTGGTCTTGGACCTCCCCTAGGTCGAATGAGTACCTGAGTGCTGAGTGTAAAACATCGCCACGAGGGAGACAAAGGCGACCGGGCGTGGTGTTGGCCACCCGGCCCCTCGTGTGTCGTGCCGGCCTTCATAGATGCTACTTTGTCTTTATTTAAAAAAAAAATGTATAAGAGATGGATGTTCATTTGATGTGTGTGTATGCATATTTCTTTCCCACCCACCCACCGAAGTATAAATGACCACATCATCCAGACACAGTTCCAGACCTCGTCCTCGTGAGCTAAGCAGTGGCTGAGCCACGACCAGCATGCGTGACGGGTGTTATAGGGCCACAAGACTGCAGGCGTGGGTGGCGGCCAGCAGAGGACGGTGCAGCCAAATCCGTTGTACTACCATGTCTATGATGTCCAGCTTAATCAACAAGCGCTACCAAGTGTGTGTGTGGTCAAGAGCGGTCAAATGAGCTACAGGACCTGCAGGGCGTCTATACGCCCTCGTCCAACAGCGCATTAACAAGGGATGCACATGTTACACGCGCCGACTGGGGTATGTTTAGAGCGTCTATATAAAGTTGATTGGAGCAGTGGTGCAACGTCATTGAACAATACATCCGATTATCTGAGTTCGATTCCTGGCCGTGGCTAACATTAGCGAGTTATATCTGAACCGATACCCCCCCCTCCCGCCACCCCCATCATCAACCCCTACTGACCTGTATTGTCTATTCAAATAATGCCAATGACAGGCACGTCGGGGAGGCCTGCCATTAGCCACGGAATGGCAAAGGTCTGTAAGTGATTGCTATTAAAGCAATCAGAAAAGTTCACGGACGACAGGGTGAGTCATACGTTTATAAAAGAGGATGGTTACATTGTTGGGATGCTTCTATTATGTTATTTCTTAGACTGCTAAGAAGTATCATGACCAACCGATGATGATATACATCGATTAAATCGGCACGTGTGCATGTGCTAGATCGAGTCTTGCATTACAGAAACGTGAGATATGGCGACGACTTGAAGGCTGGTAGCAATCAAATCTTCTTCGAAGATATATTCATTATTTTTTGGCTTGTTTATACTTCTTCCACATGAATCACATGCCCTCTTTATACTCAGCGATAAGTGTACTGTAAATACAAGTATGATTGATTGCTCATTCGCTATATATAAATGTAGTAATTATCATTATTTTCATCACGGCTGATGATCAGGGATTCGTTTCTCACTCGATAATTTCTGTAACGCTGCTAGGAGGGCTTCATTATAGGCGTAAGTCACTACCGCGAGACTACAAGGTAGACCTATCCACAATAATTGCAATTATGATGTATCCAAATTTCTAATTATTTTACAAACACGTTTGAAAATTAGGGTTATGCGAAAATAAGGCGAGATGGATGTGGTTGGGTGCCAAAGTAATTCCTAGAACTATGTTCCAAACTAGCCATTGAACAAAGATGGTCACTGCATCGTGCACTTTCAGATGTGCTCTGCGGCCGTCTGGAACGCTCTTCCTTCCGATATTATGAAGCCACTGGGGCTATGTACTTTTAAATCTTGATTGAAAATGTATTCCTTTAGAACAGCATTTTGTGTTTCGTTTGTTGTCCTTTCCCCGCACCTTCCATCAGCACGGTTGGCTATAAACTGCGCGAAAGAAGTTCAACATGCATACAGCGTACATACAAGCGCCGCTGCTGCTACTGCTGCTGATGCCACAGTAATGACAAGCATTGCCCACGGGCGGCCCTCGCCAGGGCTTTGTCCCTCCACGAGGACCGAGGGTGCCGCAGGGGGCTTGGGCACAGCAGCGCTCACTCAGCCGGCGGGACAGAAGGGGCCAGCTGTCTCACGCCGGCGGGGAATCCCTGCCGCCCACCCAGGGGCCACGCGCGCTCGCAGCGCCGACAGCACGGGCTGCCACCCCCGCCTTCGTTTTCCGCCAACGAGCAGATGTCTAGGGCTGCTTCACGCGGCAGCCAGAGCGCACACACAGGGAAGGAAGGTTCCGTGGTGGCAGGGGATGCTGCCGCGGTTGTAATGGTTCGAGCATACTGGCCGGTTTGATCTCTCGGCGCGGCAGTTGAAACCGGCCCGTGGGCCTCGAGCGATGGCAGTTGCACTGCCTGCACCCTCTCGATAGTTAGGCCACTGTTGAACGAACACCCATGGAACTGTGCGTGTGTTTTTTTTAAAGACCGTGGCTGCTGTTTATAGTGCAGCGGCTCAAAAAATGCTTTCTTCACGATGGAGTTTTTTCTTCAGTTTTTTTCCAGCATAAAAGAAGTCGCGTGTCTTTTTTGTAGTTTTCAAAGCAGAACTGCAGAGTGAATGGATTGGGGGTTTTTTGTCGTGGTTTTGGAATTTCACAATCGTTCCTTGTTGTAACCTAATGATTGACAAGCCATTTCTCTGAGCTCCGTAGCCACGGATTGCCCTGCCGAGTGTGATGTCTGGTGAACGGGCAATACCAAAACTTGGCTCCATCATATTTTAAAAACAACGGCGCTCTTGCGAGACCGGGAGTATTTTTCAGATGGAAATGAAAAAAACCGGAAGGAGAAAAAAACATCCAAATATAAAACACTGATAATAAAACACTGAGCATCACCATTCCCTGCGGTGTAACATACTATCAATTATACGTTGCACACTTAGTTATTGAAGTTTCACGGTGGATATTTGTGTGTGTGTTGATACCATGCCTTTTAATATTTCCAATGCAGGTACATTAATGCCA